ATATTCTACTGGAAATTGGTGTGTGTGGTTGTATCGGGGGGAGCCATCCTTGCCAACTGCTGCCAACACCTGAAGTGTGCCCATGTCTTAGGCTCTGTACAAGGCTGAATCTAGGAACAATGAAATTGAATCTTTGACAGAAGAGATAGTTGAACAATTCAGTATACAGGCTGCTGCACAGTTATTCTTGGCGAGACTCCTAAAAACATTCATAGTCTGGTGTAAGAAATGTGTTTGGGGGGAAAATAAAGGTGCAGCTGGACAACTGCTTGCTAAAGATTAGTACAGCCTGCCATGGTGGCACGGCTACACCTTGATGGGCACAGTGGGCTGATGTCTGTGATCTCAGTAATTTTTCAGGAGGGGAAGCAGGAAGATTGTCTCCAGTTCTTGGCCAGGCTGGGTTAAAGTGGGAGACCCTGTCCCCCCTGCCTCCCCACCCCCCTGCAAATGGCCTGGAATTGAAATACCCAGAACTTATGTAAATGTCTGGTTGGCATGGTGGATGCCTTGGAAGGCAGAGACAGGGGATCCCAGAGCTGGGTAGTCAGATTAGTCATATCAGCAAGCTTTGGGTTTCATTTAGAGACTTTGCCTCAATGAATAAGGTAGAAGAGGGAATGAGGATGACATCAACCTTGAGCCTCCACACACATGTGCACACATGTATGTGTGCCCACATGCATGCAAAAATGCATTCATCACACCTATACACATGAATACTGGAAAACAAACAGGCTGAGTTTGATGGTGCATGTCTGTAATCCTAGCACTGAGGAGATGGAGGCAGGAGGATTGGGAGTTTAAGGTCACCCTTAACACTAGCCTGTGTCAAAAATAAAGAACTGGACACACATGTAATTGTAGTACTTGAGAGGCTAAGAATGAAGAGGATCACCATAAGTTTGAAGCCAGCCTGGTCTTAAGAGTGAGACCCTGAGTCAAAAAAAACAACAACAACAACAAAAAAACACAAAAAAATAAAGATGGATGAGTACAGATAAAAAGAAGCTGGGTGCTAGTCTTCAAGAAAATGGGGAAAAGGCTGGAGGACATCCCAGAAACCCTGAGACTACCCTTGCCATCACAGGCCTAGAGGCCTAGAAGGGCAGAATGCTTTTGTTTAGGTTAAGAGGTTCTAAAGTCTTGTTACTCAGGGCTTCCTTTGTATTCCTCTTCCTGCTTATTAATGAAGTGCTCCATGGCTCCTCCATCCACGCTTCAAGTGGGCCCAAAGTACAACCTGTGCCATTGTTCCAAACACAGTAAGCAGCCCAGTGAGAGGCACATAATTATGGCAGAAGCAGAGTTAGTCTACCAAGATTACAAAGGAAAGCCTAGCGGGGGGGGGGTCACTGCAAGGGTAGTCACTGTAGATAGCCTCCACTAGAATACAGTAGAGCTATGGGACTACCACGTAAGACCCCAGAGAGGTAGTATCTGGCAGCATGCAAGGCCAGTGCAGAAAAGCCGTAAACAGCTGTGCAGCAGCCACATGGGTCTCAACCAGCAAAGCCCAGGGACCATCTCTTGCAGCAGCATATTTGGGATGCAAGATGTGGAACTTTAACATTTAATGTCTATCCTTTTGGGCTTCAGTCTTGTTTTGGCTCAGTACTCTTTCCTACTTCCGTACTTTTTCCTTTTGGAATGGGAATGTTTATCCTATCCTTGTTTTTCCATTGTATCTTGGAAGATTTCATATATGTGGGTTTTTTCCCTAGTAGGGGGAATTGAACCTTGTGTCTTGAGCATAGCAGGGATTCTACCACTGAACTATATCCCAAGTCCAACTTTCTTTTGGTTTTACAGGCTCACAGCCAGGAATTTGCTTTGAGTCTCAAATGAGACCTTGGAGTTTTTGTGTAAAAATGAGTTAAAATGTTGGAAGTATTTTGCACTGTACCAGACATAAATCTTGGGGTCCAGGAATAGAACTGTGATGGTTTAAGATATGGTTTGTATTTCTCAGAGTTTCTTTTGAGAAGAAACTCTTTTCTTGTTTTGGGAAAATATTTCACTATGTAGCCCAGGTTGGCCTTGAGCTTGGAGTGATCTTCCTGTCTCTACCTCCTGAGTGCTGGGATTACTGGCTACCATGCCTGGATTCCCTAAAGGTTCCCTTACTGGAAGCTTTTTCCTGGTGTAGAGAGTTGGGAAGTGGTGGGACCTCACTGGAATTAGGTGATGGGGGCACTGCTCTCATGAAAGGATTATTTTTGTGGGTGGCTATTCTTATGCTTGTGGAACAAGGCCACCACACACACTTGGTCCATTCTTCACCCAGCCATTTCCCTTTCTACTTCCCTGACATGCTGCACTGCAGAGAGATGTGTGTGCAGAGGGAGAGGGTGCTTCTTACAAGGTTGAATGGATATTAGACTTTGAACCCCCCAAACTATTATCTAAACATACCTGTTTTGTTTACAGACTATTCAGTGATAGTTGCGTGTAATAGCAATACAAAAGGGATGAATACAAGTGGGTTCTGTTTTGTCATATTTTCTTTTAAAATTGCAATCTGTGAGATCCCTTGAGTAGTACAGCTACTATTAGTTGAGCAAACCTATGTAGTAGGCACAATGCTAAACCATTTATATGCTTATTTATTCATCCTGAAAACAATCCTGAAGCCGTAAAGTTTAGCAGTTCTCCAGGTTCATAATCTAAAATACAAAATTATATCTGCTGGACTCAAAATGGTATCTGTATTAACTGTAATAAGAATCAGGGCTATTTCCAAACAGTTTGTTTTCTCAAGTACAAGTTGAGTGTCAAGCCATTAACAATATCTTAGTTAGCATATTTAGCAAATCAGGATGCAGGATAACTGCCTTCACATGTCATATAATATAACCATCTCTTACAAAATCCACTCAACAAAGCTTGTTTCACTACGTATCTTGCTGCTTCCTACTAGGGATCATGTAAGACATAATGCCTCTCAGTTGCTGGGTCAATAAATCAAGATAAGGCTCTATCTATCATCTATCTATCTATCTATCTATCTATCTATCTATCTATCATCTATCATCTATCTATCATCTGTCCTCTATCATCTATCTATTAAAGATCTCACTACATAGTCCAGGACTGGCTTTGAAGTCACCATTATCCTGCTTCCTGAATTCTGAGATTATAGGTATGCACAACTGGATAAGATATGTATTTTATTTTTTGGTTTACTGAGACAAGGTTTCCCTGTAGTCCCAGCTGGCCTGGAACTCGCTATGTCTTGCCTTGATGTCACAGAGATCTGCCTGTCTTTGCCTTCTGAGTGCTAGGATTAAAGGATGTGATTAATTACCACCACACCTGGCTCTAAGATATTTTTTATTTTTTATTTATTTTTTAGTCTTTTTGAGACAGGGTCTCCTTGTAGCCCCAGCTGTCCTGGAACTCACTATGTAGACTAGGCTGGCTTTGAACTCACAAAGATCCGCATGCCTCTGCTTCCCAAGTGCTGGGATTAAAGGCATGCATCACCACGCCTGGCTTAAGATAATATTTTTAAAATTACTTCATTTATTTTTATTTTACGTGTATGAGTGTATTGCCTGCATGTATCTAAGTGCACCCATGTCATGCAATGCCCGCAGAGGTCAGAAGAGGGCATCGGATCCCCTGGAACTGGAATTATAGAAGGTTGTTAGCCAACATGTGGGTGCTGGGAATCAAACCTGGGTCTTCTGCAAGAGCAGCCAGTGCTCTTAGCCACTGAGCCATCTTGCCAGGCCCTAATATATTTTAAAAACAAGCAGAAGACTCATCTTAATTCATTTCATTTTCTCTGTTCTCTTTCTTTCTCCTCTCTCCCTCCCCTCCCTTCCTTTATTTTTCTGTGATGGGCTTTTGCTGTCTTGCTCAAGCTGGCCTATAACTCCAGGGATCCAGCAATCAATCCGCCCCAGCCTCCAAAGTACCTGAGACTACAATGATGTCTCACATCATTAAGATTTCTGATAGGCCTTTTAATTCTTTCTACAGGACTCTGCATATGCATATGAATATTTCTAGGTAAATAACCAAATAAACAAGTTTTCCAAACAAGAGTTTAACAGTTTCTCAATTCATTTTACACTGGTGAATGAACAGTAGTTAGAGGGAGGTTTCCAAATGTATTTTTCTAAAGGTGGACCATAACCACTGCCAATAAGAAAGTTCTCTCTAGTAAGTTTGTGCACTGAGTCATTATGACACAAGCACTAGACACAGTTTCATGATAGACATGTCAAGAGTGTGTATATGAATCCAAACAATTACACTAAATGTATGCTAAATATACTTGGATCATTATGCATATTATCATGCAATTATACTTGAATTACTATATATGCGAGAGTCAGTATAGCCTGGGAATTTTCTCCATGAGCTATGAAGTCAGACAGATCTGAATTTGGATCTAGGCTTTACCACATGACCCTTAGAAAACTCTTCATCTCCCTGATTCCCAAATTTTCCCTGTAAAATGGAGATAGTTAACCTATCTTAGGACTGGTATGTGAATTAAAAATTTGCAGTTGAAATTCTAGCTAATACAGTAGGTTACATCTATGGCTCTTTTGCAAATGTGGAAAAAAGGTTCAACTGGAAACGTGTTCGAACTGTATATAAATCAACAAGAAACACGTGGCTTGGTCAGGTTTTTTTTTTTTTCCTCAAGGCCAGCAGAATCTGCCAGACTAAATTTTCTTTCTTTTTTCAAAAATATACTTTTATTTATTTGTGTTTGAGTGTATTGCCTGTGTGTGTGTAAGTGCATCCTTGTTGTGCAATGCCTGCGGAGGACAGAAGAGGACACTGGTTTCCCTGGAACTGGAATGACAGACAGTTGTTAGCTGCCATGTGGATGCTGGGAATTGAACCCGGGTTCTCTGCAAGAGCAGCCAGTGCTCTTAACCGCTGAGCCATCTCTCCAGCCTCCAGACTAAATTTTCTAAAGAACCATTTTAAATCAGATGACTGCAGTAACTATGACAGCATTTTAATAAGATGACATACTCATTTAACACAGCCTTTATTTTTTTTTGTTTTAAAACAAAATTTTCAGGAAACAAAATACTTAACAACAGTTGGGTACTAATGAAATAAAAATCACAGTTTCAAAGAAGAATCAAAACCAGACAACTGCCAAAAGATAGACCACTTGGTTTACAAAAGAAAAAGAAAAAACGTTAATGTCAAAAAGGATTCAAATTGTTTAACAACATTCTATATAATGCTACATTCCCCAATTAAGAAAGAAAAGTTCACATATACAACTAAACATTAAGTATTGAGAAGTGGCTGAAATTCTGCATACTTTATGGTAAATTATGCATGAAAGTTTATTAATTGCATAAACTTCCTGAGTGGCTCCCATGCTGCACTAGGTCTACATGCTTAATATTCATATTAAACAAATTACAGCTTGAAGTGATTGAGCATGACAGACCTTCAACTGCACCTTCTGATTAGTCACTGGATCTTCTGAGGGTTCTGGACTACAAATTCAACCTTAAATCTTAAATTATATTGAAAAAGTAATACAACTTAAAAAAAAACTAGAAGGACCACATGCACACATTTTAGCACTTTTTCCCCTCAGGGCTTAGTTTCTCTCTTTCCTTCTTGCCTGACTTTTAGTTTTTAAATAGTCTGTGTTCTTTTAACAGAAAACCTTCCAGAATTGGAGCTGTTGAGCTATACAGTCTTTCAGCTATCTCAGCTGAAAAGAACTTTAACCTGCTTACTACTTTGGGCTTATTCACATGTTGCCTGTTAAGGTCCCTGATCGGTGTTCCTCCATCACAAAAAAAGAGACTACTTCCCAGGGTGACCTGAAAGCATGGCTCAATAAAAATTGCATACTAAATTTACTTCAAAGGATTTTTAGCATGTTTGAATGTTTTCATTTTATAACCTGGACTAGAATTTTAAATTTTAACCCTAGAATTTTATTTGCGGAACCAAAAGCCTTTTCTATATCTGCAAACCTTTTCTAGTATGTCTCCTAAATAAAGGGAGGGAAAATAAGTGTCCGATAAACTACAGATATAAAAAATGAAGAATGTGTTTTAGAAAATAGCTTGCATACCACCTCAGAAGGCTCACGTTTTTCTTAATCAAACAGAACATGAGGTAACTGAATTCCAAATTGATGGCAAATATACCTCAGGAATGTACTTATAAATGAAAACTGATGACAGTACATGTGAAACAAGGAACATCCAGTCATAAAAATTTGCTGAATTTTTTTTTGGGGGAAAAAGAAATGCATCATTTTTACTGCTTAGAAAATACAACAAAGAGAGTCAAAGCCTCCATAAACTACAGAGATTGAATAAACAATTATCTAAATCCTTACCACCAACTACAGTTCAAATGAAACGCATTCTGCCATTTTAGGATAATGTGACTGCAAATACCTAGCAGTATGCTAATATTTTGAATGGCAGGTCGCTGCTATAGGAGGTTAACTATTTTGCTGTGGTAGTTAAAGCAATTTCAACCCATAGCCCTTTAGGCAGAGATGAGAAATCCATCTCCAGTAATAAAGGCAAAGCTGCAGGCACTGGGACAGTCACTTAAGTTAACCATTTTCTTACTTTAAAACTAACTCCTACAACTAAGTTTTATATTGCCATCAATTTGATTTATTTCTCAGCTCTCCATCCCCAAATCCTGTAAGGTTATTTATTACACATAGGCACATGGCTCTCATCAACACAAATTGGTGGCATAATAATGGTTATTCTCATCCCAAATGCATGGTTAGTGCCAGGACAAAAAAGGTAAGCCTGACTGATAATCTAAAAGAATGCAGAGAATCAAGGCAAAAAAGCAAGTTTCACAAGGCAATGCTTACTTGTGCATCTAAAACAGCACTGAAAACGAGGTAGATAAACAAAAGCAACTGGACTGGAATTAAATCTTGGGTTTTTAGATGATAACATCACATTGTATTGAAGAAAACACTCTACAGTCATTCCAAAAATCACAGAGGAAATGCCTTTTAAACTTTCACAGTTTTCCTGTTAAAATATTAAATTCACACTTGATATCAGGAAGAGATGAAAAACAGAAAGGATATTTGTCATATTACAGCAAATTAAATAGAGATTAAAGACCCTCCAAATCTATATAGGGTTATTTTTACTGGATTTAGACTAGTTTTGATTTCATAGTGTCAGGGTGTTATAGCCACCTTCACAGACAAAGCAGTAGGGACTTCATGGCAAAATGCTTACATTGTGCCATACGAAGATACAGCACTGCTTGTGAGACTTGCACTGTGAGAAGTAAACAGAGTGGCTGGACATAGAGACTATCTTTCAAGTAAACTTTGTGAGCACAAGAAAGAAAATGAAAATGATAGGTTTCTGTGATTTTTGGAAATGAACAGAAAGCCCATTTTATACACTACGCTCTTTGTTAAGTAAGTATTTATGGGGAGGAAAAGTACGTCAGGTAAGGATGAAAACAGCACTATTCTAGGACTTAGTAAAATTATGAAATACAAAACCCCCAGATAGAAAACTAACCAATATTTACAGCCAAAGCGACTATAGTCTGGATCAAACATTTAAGTAATGAGGAAAAGTAAAGAAAACTCCACAGTAAAACAAATAACATCGTTTTCTTTCTGCACACTCATTTTTTTCTGTACGCTTTAACTTACACACATTACATATACATAATGTATATATAACATATGTTAATCCAGCTACTGCAGTCAGCATGGAGACAGCAGTACACTATTCACCATCTTCAAACTTTAGAAGACTATTTTTCTTTCCAGCAAAACCTGAAAAGATTCTAAATATTACAAGGCACTGCAAAAATCTGCAGGCAAACAAGAATGATGAATTATTTCTAAAACTGAGATGGTAACAAAACACAGGACATATTATATAGTGCAGCCATTAACAAATGGAATTGTACATGTCATCCATGGAGCTTTTGATCCTGGGGTACACTGTTTAAAATGATTGTAACTAGAGAAAATATAGTCTTAAAACTTGTAGGATTTTTACTTTATAGGTTGTAAATCCCAATATAATTACACAAAACCAACTCAAAATGAATCAGGAACAGTTTTAAAGAACTATGGGTTTTAGGAGGATTGTGTTTGCACATGTGAAAAACACTGCAATGCAAGCATCTGCATTACACTAACATCCTAAAAACCACTTCACCTTGCAAACCAATACCATCGAAGAAATTTGAGCAATCTGTTCATAAGATCTGGATCCATCCAAAACAGGATGTTTTATGAAAAGAAACTGGCTCTTCCCAATAGCAATTCACAAAAAGCTACCCTTAATGCCCCCAAGTAATAGTGTCAAATCTGAAATGGTGGTTGTCATCTTTAGGTAAGCAATTTAAGACACATTTTCCAAAAAGTATACTGTGCAAAGAAAAAAAGTACTCCCATTATGTTTTCCTCATTTCCCAGCAAGCCCACAGGGATACAGTTTTTAGAGGAATATAGAAGAAAATTTACTAACACAAATGTTGAGCACAATTTGGAATGCTTACCAATAGAATACCTCATTAGGAAACTATGTACCAGAAATGCCCCTGAAAGCTTCCGTGAATGGTAAGTTATTGGAACATGTATACGTAGAAGCTGATGTATACCATTTAAAAATTTCTATTTGAGTTTCACAGACTGAGCATTAGGTAACCCTGTGACTAGCCTTCAAAGTTATTATAGGTAACCTTCCTAAAAACCAAAGGTGTACATTTTGACATTTCCTCCTAAAACTGGATAAAACCCAGTAAAGTGCAACTTGACAGTGAACTCTCTGAAATTCTCAAGAGGCTGTCAAACTTATCTAAGATCTAAAATTGTCTAAGAGTCTATAGATACTAATAAGAAATTATAACAACCAAAATTGTCATCAAAAAAGTCTAAAGGCAATTTAAATAATATCCTTCTAGGGTCTACCATCTCACTGCAGGACAGTGTATATCCCACACTTCTTAGAACCCTGTAAAGCCAGTGTTTCATGTAAAAGTCTTAAAAACCTACAAAAACCTAGTATGTCAAGTACTTTTCATTTTAGAAGAATGGACCAACATGCTAATCTCAATCCTCTTGGATAGGATTACAAGGATTATTTTAAATGAGATTATATCAGCGGCAATATATCCTTGCAAAAGAATACAAGCCAAATCAATGGCTCTCAGATTCTCAAAACCAATGCAGTGTGCACATTAAGAAAAGGTAGCTGCTTTGGATTATTAACCGAAACCCTAAAACAGCTATAGTATCTGTAGATTCAAGGAACTGTTACAGTTCTGTTTTTTTATTTTTTCCTTTCCCTCCGCCTCACTCAAAACAAAACTTCACTCCTACTTCTGTGATGACGGGAAGAAAAATCACATTAAAAAGGACTCATGGTCTGCACTCATTGACAAAATTATACTAATTTTATACACCAAAACATTTCCTGCAGCAAATTACCTACCACCTTCTGTGAAAAGTAAACGCAGGATAAACGTGAAGAATCCCACAAGACTCTGGCTATTAGGAGGGTCTCACTTCATCCACATTTGGGGAAAATCAATCTAATTTTTACACACTTCAAAGGAAAGTATGCAACTGCTAGTAGCAGCACTAAGGTGGGGGGGCACTTCTCAGCAACACATGGAAAGTGTCCTGGAAATGGTAATGCTCAAGCCGAGCTTATTAAAGCATTCTGAACAGTATTTTTAAAAAATCAAGTATCAAAGAGGATAGGTTTTGAAGTGAAAAAACATTTCTATGTGCAGTGTTCTATATGCAAACTGCACAATTCTACAGAATGATGAGCTGTATCAAATACCACATTGGAACACAGAAAGTACAGCTGAAAGTAGACTTAAATGAGGGAAAATATGGCAGAACCCAAGAAGAAAAGTTTAGTATCTTAGGTGCTCTGAAAATAATCTCCCCCTTATTTCATTATCCATTTTGATTTATTTAGGACCAGGAGGGATTGCAGCTGGATTCTGCACTGGTGAAGCTGGAAATGCCTGCAAATTCATCCCAGGCTGGAACAGTCCCCCAGATTGAGTAGGAATCACTACCGACTGCTGTGTTGTTCCTGAAATTCCTACCCACTGTACCGGATACCCTGTGCCCCCTACAGCATTATACTGGCAAACGTGGGGCATTCCATATGATGATAATGGCCCAGGAAATGAAGGGAGCGGGAGTCCTTGTGGCAAGGAAGTTGGGACAGCTCCACGGATTTGGGAGAGAGAAGAAATCCATGTTGATGTGTAGCCCATAGTAGATGGAGTCGTCTAATAAAAACAAAAACATAAAAACAAAGGGTCAGTTTATTTGGCATATGCTTTTATCAGTCTATATTCCTATTCTTTTTGGCTCACCACTCCCATTATTCCAATGAGTGGAGCACCTTTCTGTGTGATGTACATAGGTAACATACCTCACATTGGTTCATCTACCTTTCTAACACCCTTGCTTTGTAGTATAAGCATTTTCAGAGCAGGAAATGGAAACTCAAAATTGGTAAATAACTCAATTATCACCAAGCCAGTTAACAGTGAGGCAGGAACTTCAACATCATTCCAGCTAACTCGAAGGCCCACGCCAACTCCTTGATCGATCACAACTCCTTGATCCTATTCTACTCATGCTAGCACTATTGTTTTGTTTTTCTTTTTGCCTGCTTTCATGCAGTAACTATAGATGAAATAACCCATCTTACTTCCATAATTCTCTGGAGACAGAGGGTCATGATTTAATGTAACATACAGCAAATGCTAAATAAATATCACTTTCCTGCCCCTTTTTCCTCACTATCATAGTAGTCCTCACTTCTGTCATAAGCCTGACACTTCTGCATATTCTTTTTTCAAATTTTTTTTCATATTTTATTTATTATTTTTATTTTATATGTATGCATGTATTGCCTGCATGTAGGTAAGTGCACCCGTGTTGTGCAATGCCCGAGGAGGTCAGAAGAGACTGTCGGATCCCTTGGAACTGGAGTTACGGACAGTTGTTAGCTGCCATGTGGGTTCTGGGATTCGAACCTGGGTCTTCTGCAAGAACAACCAGTGTTCTTAACCACTGAGCCATCTCTCCAGCCCCACTTCTGCTATATTCTTATCAACTAATTTTTATTTTTGTGCCTGTGGGCTTATGTGCATGAGTGTGCGTGCGTGCATGTGTGTGTGTGTGTGTGTGTGTGCGTGCATGTAGAGGCAAGAAGTTCATTTCTGGTGTGGTTCCTCAGGTGCCATCCATCTTATTTTTTGAGACAATGGGTCTCTCACTGGTCTGGAGCTCACCAAGTAGGATAGGCTGGTTGGCAAGCAAGCCCTGGTGATCCACCTGTCTCTGCCTCCCCAGTGCTGAGATTACAAGCATGCACCACCACGCCTGCCTTTTTCAGATGGGTTCTAAGGATTGAACTTAGGTTCTCATACATTTGTAGCAAGTACTTTACTGAGTAAGCTATCTTCTATTATAAATTTAAATTGATTCAAGGCCAGCCTGGTCTACATAGCAAATTCCAGGCCAGGTGGGGCTACAGGGAGACCCTGTCTCAATAAAACCAAAAAATTAAAAATAAATAAATTTAAATTGAAGACCACAAGACAATTATGTTTTGGGCAATATCTTATTCCCTGGCTACACTTATCATATTATATTGTAATTAATGATATGTATGGAGATTATGGATATATATGAATAATACTTTCCATGGATGTAAATAATTCTCTTAGCAATCTCAAATCCTTAGTTCTTCTAAACTGAATTGTCAAGCTAAAACTAAACTTACAATTAAACTTTTGTTAGAAGTTTTCAATTTAAGTTAGGATAAATGTTTTTAGTTTGGCTCAAAAATGAATAATAATATTCACTGAGTTACAAAAACTTTTATTTAAAGTTCAGCAATTATTGATTCAAAACAACAGTATAGTGCAATCACATTTGAATACAGTTATTTCTATGCACCCATATATACACATAGAATGAGATCTAATATTTACCTAAAGTTTATGACAACCATTTCTGTGTGGTAGGATATGAAAGTATTATAAAATTTGTACTTTTCTGCATTGATTAAATTCTATAATAATTATTGTTATTTTTAAAAACTATAGCATGTTTATTTTTTTAAAAGAATAATTTAGAGATGTTATAATTCTACTCTTAAATAGTCCTAAGAAATCTCTGATTCTAAATGCCCAAACATGCAGTCTTCCCCTACCAAAATCCGTGATTTGCTCATGTGTACCATCTCATGACCAGTACCCAGGAATGGTATCCAATGATACAAGGCAGAATATAACCTTGATAAAGCCCCCAACATACACCATTCAATTTCCAAATCTTATCTATTCAATTTCTTAAACATTTCTTGGAATCTGTTCACTTCATGACTGACTCTTGACTGATCAGCAAACATCTACCCTGATACCCCCAAATTCTGTCTTCCTGATTCTTCTCAAGATACGGAACAAAACCAATCAAACAAAACCCCAAATGTAATCCTACTAATCCATTTAGGGCTTCATAGCTATCTATCTCTCTTAAATAAATACAAAATTCCTTATTACCAACTATTACATGTGAGACCCTATCTACTCCTTGCTCTCTTCACAATTCAGCTAAACTGACCTACTTTCCATTCTTTCATGTTTCCTTCCCCACACAGGGCTTTTGCATATGCTATTCTTTCCGCTTAGGTAGGAACTAATAACAACTAGTTAACTCCTACTCCTTCAGAACTCAGTTCAATCACCACTTTCTGAGGGAAACTTTCCTTGACCACTTTTTACTAGACAATATTTCCCTTACTGTATGGTATCATATACCTTTCTTTTGTCATTCGTATTATAATTGTGATTTTATAATTATTTATGGAAATCTGTTCATGCCTGACTATACTCTGTTCCACCAGAGTATAAGTTCCATAAGGACAGGAACCTTACTTGATTTTACTCTCTAACCCCATGTCTAGCACAGTACTTGGTACACAATAAAGGGCTTGACAGATCATTGTGCAAACAAAAATGTCTAAGTAGGTCTACAGAACAATACCATGTAAGAGCATTACTTAGATTGACTCTGCACAAAAATATAACCAACTAAATCTAAAGTACAAAAAACAGTTATCACATATAAGCAACACTTGTAGTGGCATAACTAAATAAATCTAAAGTACAAAAAACAGTTACCACATATAAGCAACACTTATAGTGGCATAGCTTTAAAGGCACTATTGTATTTAAGCCTTACAGCAATCCTGCAAGGTATATATTATCCCCGTTTGAAAGACACAAACACTGAGGCAAAAAGAGATGAAGTCTCATAACTAGTAAATGACTAGCTGAGCTAGGAACCCAAGTATGTTAAAAGATTTTTACTATTTTTATTCAGTTTTCTTCCTACCCTCTTGCAAATGGCTTCCCTTATGCTGCAATAAACTACCATCCAACTAGTCAACAAAAACCTTCTTTCTTTCATGCTATATTCACAGTCACTCTCTGGTACAACAAATGCATTTGTCCTTAAAACACCTCTTTAAAAATCTCATATTTTACAGTGGTGCTACTACCTATATGCCAACTGGAGCCAGAAATAAGACAAACACACAGAGCTTCCAAGCAGATATATTGTTTACTAGTTTAAGAAATCTAGGTTTTGAATATTTTTATTCAATATTAACAATAGATGTATCTTTTGAGTAAACATCTTGCTATGTAGCCCATACTGGTGACCAACTAAACATACTCCTGCCTCAGCCTCCTGAGTGCTAGGAAAACAGGTGTGCATTACCATGTCCTGTTTAAAACAGGCTGGTCATTTCTTTCTTCTATTTATATAACAATGCTTAGAATTGAACCTAGGACATTGTATTTTCTAGGCAAGTGATCTAACACTAAGCTACAACCTTATCTCATTAAAAGTATTTTTTTTGTCTTTTTGAGACAGTGACTCCCTGTAGACCCAGCTGTCCTGGAACTCACTATGTAGACCAGGCTGGCCTCTGCCTGCCTCTGCCTCCATTTTTATACATTCTTTCTAAACTAGATTCGATAACTACATCTATTATCAAGCATGAATACAAGAATAATACACACCCAATTATGAGGGTTCAAGTTCTTAGCCTCAAAAACCTAACAAGTATATACTTATTTTGTTTTTTCAAAGTTTTGGAAAATTTATTAAGCTTATTTTATATGTATGAGCATTTTGCTGCATGTATGTATGTACACCTGTGTGTGCAATACACACAGAGGCCAGAAGAGGGCATCCCCTGTAACTGGAGCTACAGATTGTTAGCTGCTACATGGGTGCTGGGAACTGAACCCAGATTCTCTGTAAGAACAGCAAGTGCTCTTAACCACAGAGTCATCTCTCTAGCCTCAAGTTTACTTATTTTGAAAAAATACTACTTACTTAAAAAATTTGAACACAAAAAAGTACAAGTTAATGTCCAAATTCCACCATCCACCATATTGTTCATGGCTTTCCATATTTCTGTATTCATAAACATGTATCTAACATATAATCTTGCCTAAGTTATATTATTATATATGTTCTGTTGTATAAGCCTATCTTCTTCCCATTCTAAAATACATTGTGGACATCTTCTTACATTTTAATTGTATGTACCTTATCTTGTAAGGCCATCATAACTGGACATTTCTTCCATAAACTCAAAAGACCTCATATTTTCCTTTAAAACAATTTAAAAAACCTTTTCATATTAAACAAAGATAGTTCAGATAACTTATTGGCTTTAAGGATACTGATGTGCAACATAGAATATCTTTTCCTTAACATCTAAACTCTTCCTTTTCCATCAGATTAACCCTCCCTCCAGATGATTTATTTTTGAATATTTTATTTTTTTAGAGAGCAAATAATGTAAAACAAGAATCAGCAAATTATGCCCCACCATCTCTTTATAAATCTTGTTTGGTTTTAAAAATATATATTTATTATTTTATGTGTATGAGTGCTTTGCCTGCATGTATGTAAGTGCATCTGTGTTGTGCAATGCCCATGGAGTTACAAACAATTGTTAGCCACCAAGTGGGTGCTAGGAATGGAACCCTGGTCAGTGCTTCTAACCGCTGAGTCATCTCTTCAGCCCCATGTTTGGCTTTTTTTTAAAGTACAGCTAACATAGGTTTATTAAGGAAAAGTGAGAAAGAACTCCCAAGAGGAATATCGGATACATTATGCTTTTAATGGAACAAAGCCACAACCATTTGCTTACATATTTCCTAAGACTGCTTTGAATTACAACAAATTTATTAATTGTATGTGACTGTGGCTTAGAAAGCCTAAAGTATTTACTAACTGGTCCCTTTGTGAAAATTTGGCAATTCTTGGTCTAAAGATAATTTGCTCAAAGACATGATAAACCTAGATAAGGATCAAAGTCTCAATGTTATGTCACACCAATTCTGTACAGTAATTATAAATATGGAGCTAAGTCAATTTTTATGGTTTTAGTTTTTGTAGAGAGGGTTGAAGATAAGCAACTTACTTCGCATACCTTGTTCCAGTTTTCTGTCTCTAATTTTTGTTGACTCTGTTTAAGTTGGTTTAAACTTGGCTTACTAGGAAAATTTCCTACTGTTTCCTTTGTCCAGTCATCCACCAGCTTGTGTAAGTCATCTGTGAACATCCCTTTTTTACTGGCTGGTGATTGCTGGCATGAGGCTGTATTACTCCCTACACACAGTGAATCTGTAAGAAGAAGAAGAAGAAAAAAAAAAAACAAGGAAACCACATAAAGGAATTACCACTAATAATTGGAAAACTAGTCTGTGTGGAGGTCATAGGACAACCTGCAGAAGTCAGTTCTCTTCTTCCACTGTTTGGGCTCTAGGAATCAAACTCATGTCATCAGGTTTGGGGCAAATGCCTTTACCTGATGAACTATTTTCCTGGCCCAAGATAACTCTTCTTTGAACAGTATAATTAATAGAACTACATACACAATATAGATAAGGGTGAACATACATTCTAGTTGACCTGAGACTGTTCTAATTTAAAGCTGTTACTCTGGTGTAATCTCCAAATAGCCCGTGATTCAAAGTTTCTTATAGTTTGGACATCAAATTCAATGGTTACTACAGGAATAATAATAATAATAATAATAATAATAATAGTAGTAGTAGTAGTAGTAGTAGTAATAGTAATAATAATAATAAAAAACAGGATCTCAAAAATTAGTATAAACTTTTTATCAGCTTCCTTGGATAGATATTTGGAAGGCTTAGAAAAGACTCCCAGGGCCGGGAGTGGTGGCCCACAGCTTTAATCCCAGCACTTGAGAGGCAGAGGCAAGTGGATCTCTGTAGTCCAGCCTGCTCTACATAGTGAGTTTCAGGCCAGATGAGGCTACAGGAGCCCCTGTCTAAAAACAAACAAACAAACACAACAACAACAAAAGACTCACAGGTACCTGTAAAAGCCAGGAAATAAAAAAGATACCATTGAAAGGAAGAAAGATAATAAGGGAGGAAGGATGGTAAAACACTGATAAGAAAAGGGAAAGGAGAAAAAGGGGGGAGGTTTATAAGAGGAGAGGGATGGGAAGGGGTGGAAGGAGTGATAACTAATATTAAGGATGCTTGAAAACAATCCGTAAAGAAACTACTATCTTATAAATGTACACACACACACACGCACGCGCGAGTTTAAATGGAGTTACCTTACATGTAGGATTATGCTCCTCACAGAATTCATAGGCTGCCAAACAAAAAAAAGCCCAGTACCAGATGTGGGATACATCTCCTCAAGTTGCTGGTTATAGGGGTGCCAGAGCCCAGAAATCAACACAGGATACTGCCATTGCTCTTGGTTGTCCATCAGAACTTGATAGTAAGTCCCTATTGCTAAAGACACCATACAGTTTGGTTACAGGACTTGAAGAAATCAAGCTGGTACTGACCAGGAAGCTTCCTCCTTGCTTGCTAGCTTTGATAATACTGCAAGGTGCTTTGCAGGTTGCTGAGGAACAAGAGACATCAATTCCCATCTTAGAATCTCTGATTCCTGAAAACTTTATAATAACTACTGGCCTGGTAAGATGTGATCATGGGTGCAGTAGTGATATGAATGTTATGGAGGTAACCAATCACTTTATGATTGGATTTAAGGCATACTCCACAGAAGGAAACTCATGCCTGATATTGTAACTTGGTCATGAAACCATGGCTAGGGATCTCATAGGCCCCAGGGGTAAACCTACTACTCTTATTTTGAAAAATGGACTTAGTATTAAAGTACCTTTAACATACATATCTTTATACCCACTGATTAGTGCAGTTCTGAGTCTTCATCAGAAAAGTTTCTTTCTGCTGAAGATGGTTAATATAGAGACTCACAAAAGGTTAAAGTGCAGAAAATACGTGTTTGTGGAGTGCTTGCCCATAAATGGGACAGCTATATAATTACCTCCCCTCCCCAGAAGAGGGCCAGAGGTCAGGGAGAATTGGGGCAAAACTGTCTTCTGGACATGACAATATCATTGCAATTGTGAACTCACAGCAGCTGCTGTGGTTACCTGCATCAAGCAAGTCAACACTCCAGCATGGATAAGGGAGGGGCATATAAACCCTCATCACCCTAGCTGAGGGGCTACTGGCAGTTGGTGGCTTCTAGGGGAGAGAGAATCAGTTTTCTTTAGGGGTGTGGTCCTTGGTAGGTTGACCAAAATCCAGTGGATGGTCCCATACCCATGTGTACATAGGTAGCACTAACTGGACTCAATAAATTATTTTTTCAAAAAGAGGATATGAAGTTGGAAGGGGGATGTAAATGGATCTGGAAGGAGGTGGGGAGAGTACACATGAATATAATAGAAATACATTGCATGCATGTATAAAATTCTCAAAGAATAAAGAAGACTCAAGGGCTTGGGGAGTACTTCAGTAGTATAGTGCTTGTGTAGCAAGTACAAGCATAAGTTCATGGGTTCAAACTATGTAGAAAATATCATCACAGAAGGTTAAAAATGGAAATAGTCTCAGCAGTATAGTCAAAAGTACTTTTTTATATAATGGGGAAAACCCTGTATAGAAAAAGTAAATTGATATGGTATGGAATGCCAAGACTTTCAACAAAGTTAAAAAATACAGAATCAAGGTCAGCCTGGTCTACATAGTGAGTCTGAGGCCAGCTGGAGCTACAGGGAGATGCTGTCTCAAAAAGACCATATATACATATAAAATCACTTTTTTTATTAATATTTCTGATTATGACTAATATTAAAAAAGAGTTGAGCAGCTGAGGCAGGGATATTTCAAGTTCAGTGACAGACTGGGCTACATAGTGAGACCCTGTTTCAAAAATAATAAAAACAACAACAACAACAACAAAAACCAAAAAGAAAGCTATATAGGCAAGAAAACAATGAGATAACATTATCAAAATGTTGAAAAACTATCAAACAAGAAACCAATTAAATATACTTTCAGGTCTGGCCTCCGCCTGGTGTAGGGACTGAGAACTCAACAGACAGCCCAGAAAAGCCTGATCTGGCCTCCCACTGGTGGAGGGACTGAGAACTCAGCAGACAGCCTGAGAGTGCCAAAATCAGACCTCCCATAGTGAGCTTCCCAAATTGTGCTCTGAGTACCCACTACTAGGGATCCAAACATTAGAAGGAAGCCTGAGTGTACCCGACTGGAGCCTGACTTGGGCCTCTGTGGAAGCTCATAAGTAGCTGATCTGAAGCCATCAGTTCCCTCCAAAATAAAATGAGAGAACCTGAAACCTAGACCAACCAGCTTTATATACCCAATAAGAAAACCAAGGCACATCAATAATACAAACAGAAGCAGACTTCAACTCAACAAACGAAGGCTTGAGTTTCATACCAGAATCACAAACAACAAAAGAAATCCACATGTCAAAATTGCAATGAAAAAATAATAACAGGGAAGACCAAAGCTGCATGTTCCCAACAAACTCCACCAGTTCTGTAGAAGAATTCTACAAGGAGAATGGCCCAGAGATAACCCAGGACACAGAATTTAAAATATAACCCAGGACACAGAATTTAAAATAACAATCATAAACCTGATCAAGGAATTCAATGAATTTAAAGAACACACAAACAATCCAATCAAAGAACTAAAAGAAGATAGGGATACACTTCTCACTGAATTCACAAAGGAGATAGAAACATTGAAGAAAACGCAGGCTGAAATGAAGAAGGAAGTGAAAAACTCAATAAGCCAACTTGAAACAACAGGACAAAGACTCACCGCTGGAATGAATGAAATGGAAAACAGAATGTCAACATTGGAGGATAAAGTTGAATTGGACTGCTCAAGGAAAGATTATGAAAAATAGTTTAAAACCCAGGAATGGAATATGCAGAAGATGTGGGACACCATGAAAAGACCAAATCTACATATCTGAGACAGAGGAAGGAGAAGAATTTCAGGTTAACAATATTGACCAGAACTTAAACATGACTGTAGAAGAAAATTTCCCAAAATTAAGGAAAGACATCTCCATACAAATACAAGAAGCACATAGAACACCAAAAAGACAGGACTAGAAAAGAAATTCCCCATGGCATATCATAGTAAAAACACTAAATGGACAGAACAAATAGGGAATACTGAAAGCAGCAAAAGAAAAACAACCAGTCACATACAAAGGAAAGCTATCAGAATTACAGCTGACTTATCAATGCAAACTATGAAAGGCAGAAGAGCCTGGACTGAGGTATTTCTAGTTCTAAAAGACCAAAGATGCCAACCCAGGATACTTTACACAGCAAAAATGTCTATTGAAGAGGAAAGAAAAATCTTCCACAGCACAAATACGCTGAAAGAATACATGTCAACAAAGCCCACCCTTCAAAGAATACTTGAAGCAATACAAAGAATGGAGAAAGGAACAACTATATCCCAGGGGCAAGAGAAAGAAACTAAATGAAGGTATAATTGTGGAAACACAAAATTAGACAAAGAATGCAAACATCAATGAAAATGATGGTGACCATATACATCTTTCAATAATAACTTTAAATATCAATGGACTGAACACCCCAGTCAAATGACACAGACTAGTTGAATGGATTAAGAAACAAAATCCATCTTTTTGTTGTCTACAAGAAACCCATCTTACCTTCAAGGATGGGTATTACCTTAAGGTGAAAGGTTGGAAAAGAATATTTCAAGCAAATGGCACTAAGAAACAAGCAGGGGTTGCAATTTTAATAACTGACAAAAATAGACTTCAAACTAAAACTAATCAGAAGAGATAAGGAGGGTAACTTCATTCTGATCAAAGGAACAATTAACCAAGAAGGTATTACAATCATGAACATATATGCACCAAACTCTGGTGCACCCAAATTCATAAAAACAACACGACAGGACTTTAAGACACAGATTAACCTCAACTCATTAATAGTAGGGGACTTTAATACCCCACTGTCCCCATTAGACAGGGGAGCTGGACAAAGAATAAACAGAGAGATGTCTGAATTAAATAATACCATACATCAAATGGACCTAAGAGACAAATATTCCAAATATTCCACCCAAGCACCAAAGAATACACATTCTATTCACAACCCCATGGAACTTTCTCAAAAATTGACCATATGCTGGGGTATAAAACAAACCTCAATATAAAAAATTGAAATAAATCCATGCATTCTATCACACCACAATGCAATAAAGCTTAAAATCAACACTGGAAGAAGCCCTAGTCACTGC